TTCTCTGACTCCTATTTTTATCAAATAAGACTGAAATGGATTAGTCCATTAGTAAGACCTTGATTTTGACAAATTATAGCCAAGGGCATTTTATATGCATGCTATGAAATATCTTAACAAATGGAAATTAAATCGTTTGTCTAATTAAGGGAAGAAAATAAACGATCATTTTCATGAGAATTCATTTGTTCATTTGATCTTGTAAATGATTAAGCCTAATCAGTATAAAAGTCTTACTAAACTCCCAGCTACTAGATTAGTGCTGTCAGACTACGAAGACCAGAAACTTGTTGGAAATTGGTGTAAGTTTCCTCCAGGTATAGCAGTTCAAGGAAGTGCTGTAGCCTCCCCGATGGAGTCATAATTCCCATCAGTCTGATTAGTCCCAAACCATCTGGCAAGCCTCCCATCTTTGAGGATGTCACCCAAATCCCTAAGGAAGTGGCATGAGTAGGGTGGCCTCGGTGGCTTCTTCCATCTCTGACATTTCCACGGAGTTAACGTTTCTGTGTTGATTATGGAAGAGGGAAGAGGCATGCGGGTGTGGAGAACTTTAAAGGGGAGCGTGTATATGACTTCAGCTCCTGATGGCCTCCATACCTACCAAATGCTTTGTCCTGGAAATGAGAAAGAGCTTTTCTGATGCCCACAGACTACCCTGGAATGAGCCACATTCACCTTTACATCCTGCCTAGTGTTGTCAACATTTCACCAGTGCTTCCCTTAATTCTTACCTCCCTCAACCTCATATCTCACATTGAGAAAACAGGTCATTTAGTTTGAGCCTTGCGAATACCTGTATACCTCACAGTCCATCTCTATTTCCTTGTGATCATCTCTTTTCCTCCAATATTACCATGCTTCCTTTCCAAGGCCAGTCCTTCCATCTGCACCAGGAGCCCACCTCTTGGTTCCTGATTCACAGTTCTGCCCTGTCTGCTTTCTTCTTTCATTGCTGCCTCTCCCTTATGGTTTTTACATTCTCAACACTCTCAACAACTTTCTCCCCTTTATGTTTTCCATATTTCTTTATAACATATCTTGGACATTCAGAAAGCAGCAAAACAAACTCCCATGCAATCACATACAGTGTTGCAAAATAGAATCTTCTGTGTGCATGTTCAAGAGTTTCTTTACAGTAGGTGCCCCAAAGGTGCCCCAAAGGACTGACTTGTCTGATATGTGCATTTCAACTTTACTAAAAAATGCCAAATTGCTCACCAGAGTATACTCGCTGTATAAATGAACTCTCTGACCAATACTTCATGAATACCTGTTTGCACCTAACTTCTTCAACACTGGATTTATGTGACATACTGATTTTTGCCAGCTAGTATGAAATGAAATCTCATTGTTTTCCTTTCCCTTTTTTCTTCTGACATCAAGCATTTTTTCAAGTTTTATTGGCTATTCCTCTTCTGTGAGTTGCCTTTTTCTAAATTTGCCCTTTTGCTCTCATGTTCTTTGTCTTTCTCTTATAGATTTATAAGAGTTCTTTATATATTCTGGATACTTACCCTTTGTTCATTACATGGGTTGTAAATATCTTTTTGAGTCTGTATATGACATTTTTATCATGCTGATTTAATTTAAATGTAAAATTTAAGTCTTTTTTATGCTTTCTGCTATTTGTGCTGTTTCACAAATTTTGTCTTATCCAACATCATAAAATTATCTCCTTATTTTTAAATCATTATTGTATCACTTTTCTTATGTATGTCTTTCATCCACCTGGTATTTATTTTTGTATAATGTTCTAATTTTATTTTTTAATGGTGACACTTAATTGTCTTAACTTCACTTATTGGTTAATCCATCCCTGTTTGCACACTGATTTTTAGTATCAACTTCATATTTGTATCTGGGTCTGTTCCTAGGAGTCGCTTTCATTGTTCCATTCATCCCGGTACCAATTTCACTCTGTTTCAATCCTCATAGCTCATAAAGAAACCTGACTTCTGGTAGGGCAAATCTCTCCTTTTGATTCTTCTTCAGAAAGTCATGCCCATTCTTTGCCCTTTGCTCTTCCATATAAATTTTAGAATATGCTTGTCAGGATTGAAAAGAAACCCATTTTATTTTTTATTGGAATTACATTTTTATGATACTGGTAATACTAAGTCATCCACCCATGAGCACAATCTTTCTTTCCATTTATTTAGGGTTTTATTTATGCCCTTCAATAGTATGTTTTAGTTTTTGTATCCAGATCTGGCCCCTCTTTCCATGTACAACCACCTGCCTTATAAGGTATTCACAATTGTTTTTGCTGGTATTCTAAATAGCTTTTTAAGTAACCTTTTTTTCCTTGAGTGCAGCCATGCCATTTTATTTCCGATCCTGATTTTGCATCCAGCAAGCTTGTTGTTGGACATGCTTATGAGTTCTGATGGCTTGTTTATATTCTTTTAGTTTTTCTATGTAGAAAATTAGATTTTGAGCAAAAAGTTTTATTATTTCCTTAGGTATCCTTATACATTTTCCTTTTCTTGATCTTTTTGCATAGTCTAGGACCTCCCATATAACGTTGAATAGAAAACATGCTAGCAATCATACTTGTCTTTTTCTAGATTTGAAAGAGAATATTTTAGTATTTCACAATTAGGTATGATGTTTGCTCTGAATCTGCAGTAGATATCTATTTTCAAGTGTTAACCTAAAAAATAAAAGCATGTAAGTTATTTTATTAGAAGAAATGGGTTTATTCGGGAATAGCAGAGAATTGCAATTTGGGACAAGGCTCGCGCAGCAAAACCGTAGGCTAGTTCAGAGAACAAAGGAGAGGAATGCTCTTTCATAGAGAAAAGCAGGGAGTTGAGAGGGGCTGTTACAAACAAAAAGTCTATGGAACTGGGAGTCGGAAGTGTAGTGGCTTCTCATTGGCTGAGTTGTAATGGTCTGGCATTGGCTGGGCTATTGGCTGTTACAGGATAGGAGGACATCGTCCTTACTCCTGCTGGGGTAGAAAGCATATCTAAATCAGAATAGCCCTGCAGGTCTACCTCTTCTGTGTCTGCAACTGACAAGGAGTGGTTGGTGTGAGAGCTCCCCCTGCAGGCCTCCAGGCTCCATGACAGTGAGGTTTTCCCCTAATTAATTTTCACAAGGTTAAGAGAAATTTCATTTATTCCAAGTTTACTAATGGTTTTTAGAAATTTTGTACGTCTTTTTTAACAGTCATATTGTTTAACCTCTTTAATCTTATTAATGTAATGAATTATTTTCGTATATTTTTCTAATATTTAACCATAATTGCATTTCCAGGATAAACCCTACTTGGTCATCCTATTTTTATATATTTAGTTAAGATTTAAAAACTTTTTTTCTTCTCATGCTGCATTATTAGTACAAGATTTTATCTAACTTTCTGAATTTTGCCAATCTTATAAAAAATAATAATTAGGCATAGTTTTAAAGTTCCTTTATAGGGTTGAGTGTTCATATGCTGGCCAATCTGATTTGCACAAACAAAACAATAAGTAAACATAGCTTCAGTGTGCATATCTTCTGTTACAAGTAAGGTAAAACATTTGTTCACATGTTTAAGGGGCATTTGTATTTCCTGTACTGTGAACTCCACTTTCATTTCCTTCACCACATCTCACTTTTGAAGTATCGATCTTCTCCTTTATTTGTAGAGTTTCTTTACATTTTACGGAGATCAGCCATCTAACTGCAATGTGAGTTATACATATATTTTCTTTTTTTAACGTTTTTTGAATGAGAACATCTAAGTTCTACTCTCTCAGCAAAGTGAGTGTAGTGTTATCAACTATAGTGACCATGTTATACATTAGATCCTTAGACTTTATTCATCATATAACTGAAAAGTTTGTATCCTCTTACCAACCTCTCCCTATTTCCCACTCCACCCCTCCAGGCCCTGGCAAACACTTTCCACTCTCTGTTTCTATGAGTTTGACTTTTTTTTTAGATTCCACATATAACTGATGCCATGCAGTATTTGTCTTTCCCTGTGTGGCTTACTTCACTTAGCATAATGCCTTCTTGGTTCATTCCTGTTACTGAAGATGACAGGATTTCCTTCTTTTAAATGATGTTCATGTATTTTTCATATATGGATGTGTATATGTATATTTTTTACACATATGTGTATATATATATAATTTTCTCGATCCATTCATCTGCTGATGAACACTTACATTGTTTCCACACCTTGGTTATCATGAATAATGATGCTTCAGGAAGCATGGGAATACAGAAATCTGTGACCTGTGGTTTTATTTCCTTTGGATATATACCCAGAAGTGGGATTGCTGAATCACTTAGTGGTTCTATTTTAAATTTCTTGAGGAGCTTCCATACTGGTTTCCATAGTGGTCGTACCACTTTGCATTCCCACTGACAGTGTACAAAGGGTCCCCCTTTCTTCATATGCTTGCCAGCATTTATCTTGTCTGTTTGACGACAGCCATCCTGACTGGTGTGAGATGCTACCTCACTGTGGTTTGACTTGCATTTCTCTGATGATTAGAGATGCCGAGCACCGTTTCTTGCACCTGTTGGCCATTTGCATGTCTTCTTTGGAAAACATGCATTTTCTTCATTGGTTCTTTCGGTTTTGTTATTGCTATTGTTATACTTTGTCTATGTCATTTTTTACATAAAATTTATATTTTTCATGCAATTTATCAATTTATATGTATCAAATGTATCTGTCTTTTAAAGCATACCAATTTTGATTTATAGTTAGAAAGCCTTTCCTCACTCAGAGTTTATGAAAGTATTCCCCTCATTTTTTTCTATCATTTTTATGGTTTTACTATTTTATAGTTAAATCTTTCCATTCTTTTATGTATCATTCCCCAGCTCTGGGTTTGGAGTCCATATGGTGTCCGTTCAGTTTCACCAGCAAGAGTGGCCTAAAAATGGCCTAAAAATCAAAGGCCATGTCTCCCAAGGTTAGATAACCTCTCTTGCCCAATTGTACCATGTGGGGAGATGCCAAAGCTGCCTACCTGTGTTCCATTTCTTCCCAGGAGAGATCCCAGATCTCTACGCTGATGATGAAGTCGAGAACATCATAAACCATGTGGGGAATGAAGTCAAGAGCCAAGGTCTGATTGACAGCAGAGAGAACTGCTGGCAGTTCTTTATTGGTCGGGTCTGACGACAGCTGAAGGTACAGAGGGTTTACTGTCCAGGGTAGGCAGGGCCAATGATGGGTTGTGGAAGCCTCTGCTGCCATTTTGGACACAGCTGTCCTCACTGACTGTGCTGGGTGTGGGCAGCAAGGGTGCAGTGGCTGAGCACCTAGGCAGGGGTGCCCTTCTGATCTGCTTCCTGTGCAGTGGCCTCCCTCTTGCTTCACATAGTCTCAGCATTGTTAATTTCTTGGCTAACAAGACTGACTAGCATTTATAGATGTTTTTTCTCTGTTGAGTTTGCTTCCCAACTTCCTGGGAAATAAAAAGCCTGATGCTAGTCTGTCTACAAGTGCTTCTCGAAAAGCTTCTCAGTTCTCCCCACCCTTCTGACTTCTCAGGTGACTCTCTGTTTCTCCCCTGTGGGGAACAAGCTGAGGGTCTGCAGCAGGAAGTTCCCAGCGATTGTGAACTGCACAGCCATCGCCTGGTTCCATGAGTGGCCTCAGCAGGCACTGGAGTCTGTCAGCCTCCGCTTCTTGCAGAGCACAGAGAGCATTGAGGTGAGAGGAAAAAGGAGGCATTCCTCAAGATCCTCTCCACCTCAGGGCACAAGGAATTCTGTGTTCAGAATTTCAGGGGTCAAGCTCAGGCTCGGACAGAGTTGCTGGAGCTCAGTTTTTCCACTCTTTCAAGCATGGTAGGCCGTCAGCTCCAGTCTTCACAGCCAGACCATCCCTTTATTTCCTGCTTTGATTTCAGCCCAAGGTCAAGCAGTCAATCAGCAAGTTCATGGCTTTTGTCCACACAAGTGTCAACCAAATGTCCCAGTCTTACCTGAGCAACGAGCAGCGCTACAACTACACTAATCCCAAATCATTTCTGGGGTTCATCAGACTCTACCAGAGCCTGCTGCACAGCAACGGGAAAGAGCTCAAGTCCAAGATGGAGCGGCTGGAGAATGGCTGCTGAAGCTCCACAGCACGTCTGCCCAGGTGAGCCTTAGCGGCCAATCTCTGCTGCCTGCAGAGGGCCGAGGGGGAGTGGGGGCTGCCCCTTTCCAGACAACTGGAGGGATCACAACCGAGGTCCCAACATCATTCATGGTCTTCCATAGAAACAGGACCAAAAGTTACAGCTGAGCTCCCCCAGCAGCCGGGCGTGCCCTCGACTGTGGTCTGCTCTGCTGTCTTTCACTGACGTGAGAATCCCGATCCCCTGAAGCACCTTTCTCCCTCTTCACCATTTCCTCCCATTCTGCTACTTCCTTTTCCTCTCCACCAACTTCCCTTCCATCTTCAAAACCAAAAAAGATGACTGGTTGGGAGAAATGGTTGCAGGGTGATAGCAATTTTTTGTTGTTGTTTCTTGTGTCTTACTATATGGTCTGTCAAAGAGCTACTGGAACCTAATTTCTTAAACAAATCCTGTCTGATCTTATACACCTCCTCATCTGTTCCTAAGTGGTTCTGTCTATCAAAAGTAGTCCCCTGTCATCCTGACCTTGTTACATTTTTCTACTAACTCTTCCAAAGGTATTAGTTTATTTCAGTCAATTTTTATTCTTCCCTTGAGAACTGGGGACAATTCTAGCATCCTCTCTGCCCCTGCTCATGCCCATCAAATATCACTGGTCCCTTGAAGGCCCCATTTTGTGCTCTGTTTACCAGCAGCAGCAGCAGCCTCTCATTAGGATGGTGAACTTTCATACCTTTCTGCACAGTGAAGCTAAGATTTTGATCAATTTAATTCTTGGATGTCACATGGTCTTGCCAATGTCTAAGCCTTTCACTTACTGTCATTTTCTCAGAATGTTGCTTTTGGAATAACTCTGTACTGAACTTTCTTATTCTGACTTCTCCTTTCTACCCAATTCAGTTTCTTGGTTCATAGATGTACTATTTCCAAATGAGTTCATTCATTTTGTGGGATGCAGTGAGCTCTTGCAGTCTATACACAGAGATTTTTTTCTGCTTGGGTAAGTCATCTATTATCTGGGTTTGTTCATCTGGTCTGGCCTCTCCTCCCAGAGCAATGATTTTCTAGATGGGTTCCCTGTGTCCCATATCTATTATGTTCTCACTCATTGTTTTCATCCCTTTGGCCTTGTTCTCTACATTTCAGGAGAGCTTTCCAAGTTTATCCTCAGTAATACTAATTTAATAGTGAGTAATATTGCTACTGCTTCTCCTGCTTTCAGTGACAACTTTAATGATGCTATTACATTTTTACCATTCTAACAGCCCTTCCTCATCTTGCCCCTTTTCCCTTTCCAACACATCCTATTGCTTTTTTATTTCAGCCTGTGTTTCTGCAATGGTATCACAGGAACCATTCTACAGTTGATGCCAAGCAGCTTTCTTTGTGTTTTTTGTAGATCTGGTTAATGAGTCGTTTCCAGAGCTATGTTATTCTTCCTCTTCTATACTGCTATTCCTTTCCTTGTTCTGTATTTATATAAATACCTCTTGTTTTCTTTATTTCCTTGCAGGCACAGTGAGATCTGTTCAAACTCAATGTTTGTCAACAAATGGCATGTAACAATGATCTAAGACACTACTGTCTTTCCATTTGTGTCATATCTAAAACCCCTTCTTAGAACAGCTTAGGACAGGTTGAGGTACATAGGTCCCAGTACAGCTAGTAGCAGTTTGTCTATTATACATCTTTGTTGTGGAAAGGAAGCATCTTCTCTTCCATTTAATTTTTGTTTCTTTCCATCTCTGAACTTCTAGAGAGCAGCATAAGGTAGAATCCAGAATGCAGTCCTACCAGATTTTTTCCCATACCTCCCACCTCTTCCTCTTTCTGTCTTCCCCAACATACAGGGCCCTCAGAACATTCTTCACCCCCACCAGCTCCTGTCTGCCTCCTACTCACTCATCCTTTGTGAATTGCTGATCAGTCTGTGTAGAGCACACTTGCTAGGGAGCAAGTAATGGGCAAGGTACTCCTACGCTTCACAGAGCAGCACGCACAGTTCTCCTTTATGCAGCCCTTTGGCCTTAGGGCAGACAGTGAAGAAAGCATAATGTCTGTTCTTGTGTTTTTAGGGATCTCTAGTAAGGAGAAGCTTGGTTATTACGTGCTCTCTAAAAGAAAAGCCTGGTTGTTAGGTGATCTCTAACAGGGAAGACTGGTTGTTAGGTGATCTGTAACAGAGAAGACTGGTTGTTAGGTGACCTCTAATAAGGAGAAGTCAGGTTGTTAGGTGATCTCTAAAATGGAGAAGCCTAGTGGTTAGGTGATCTCTAACAAAAGCCTGTTGTTAGGTGATTTCAAATGGAGAAACCTGCTTGTTTGGTATACTCTAATAAGGAGAAGCCTAGTTGTTAGGTGATCTCTGACAGGGAACCTGGTTGTTAGGTGACCTCTGATGGAGAAGCATGGTTATTAGGTGATCTCTAATAAGAAGAAGTCTGGTTGTTAGGTGATCTCTAGTGGAGAAGCCTGGTTGTTAGGTTACCTCTGACAGACAAGCCTGGTTGTTAGGTGACATCTTAAAGAGAAGACTGGTTGTTAGGTGATCACTAATGAGGACAAGCCTGGTTGTTAGGTGACCTCCAACAGAGAAGCCTTCTGGTTAGGTGACATCTGAAAGAGAAACCTGGTTGTTAGGTGATTTCTGATGGACAAGCTTGGTTGTTAGGTGACCTCTGATTGAGAAGCCTGGTTTTGAGGTGATCTCTAATAAGGAGAAGCCTGAATGTTAGGTGATCTCTAATAAAGAAGTCTGGTTGTTAGGTGACCTCTTACAGAGAAGCCTGGTTGTTACATGACCTCTGACAGACAAGCCTGGTTGTTAGGTGATCTCCTACAGAGAAGCGTGGTTGTTAGGTAACCTCTGACAGAGAAGACTGGTTGTTAACACAGCTCTTTCAGAGAAGCTTGATTATTAGGTTATCCCTGACAGAGATGACTGGTTGTTAGGTCATTTCTAATGGAGAAGCTTGGTTGTTAGGTGACCTCTGACAGAGAAGCCTGGCTGTTAGGTGATATCTAATAAGGAAGAGACGGGTTGTTAGGTTATCTCTGACAGAGAAGTCTGGTTGTCAGGTGATCTCTAAGAAGGAGAAACCTGGTTGGGAGGTGATCTCTAATAAGGAAAAGCCTTGTAGGTGACACTTGATAGAGAAGACTGATTGTTAGGTGACCTCTGAGGGAGAAGAATGGTTGTTAGGTGGTCTCTAATGAGGAGAAGCCTGGTTGTTAGGTGATCTCTAATAAGGAGAAACCCGCTTCTGACATGATCTCTAATAAGGAGAACCCTGGTTGTTATGTGACCTCTGACAGAGAAGCCTGGTTGTTAGGTTATCTCTGACAGACAAGCATGGTTGTTAGGTCACCTCTTAAAGAGAGGACTGGTTGTTAGGTCACCTCTTAAAGAGAAGACTGGTTGTTAGGTGACCTCTAATAAAGGGAAGCCTGGTTGTTCGATGACCTCTGACAGAGAAGGCTGGTTGTTAGGTGATCTCTTAAAGAGAAGACTGGTTGTTAGGTGATCTCTAATAAAGGGAAGCCTGTTGTTATGTGACGTCTGACAAAGAAGCCTGGTTATTAGATGACCTCTGACAGAGAAGCATGGTTGTTAGGTTACCTCTGACGGTTAAGCTTGGTTGTTAGATGACTTATGATTGAGAAGCCTGGTTTTTAGGTGATCTCAAATAAGGAGAAGACTGGTTGTTAGGTATTCTCTAATAAGGAGAAGCCTGAATGTTAGGTGATCTCTAATGGAGAAGCCTTGTTGTTAGGTGACCTCTTGCAGAGAAGAGTGGTTGGTAGGAAACCTCTGACAGAGAAGCTTGATGGTTAGGTTATCTTTGACAGAGAAGCCTGGTTGTTAGGTGACATCTGACAGAGAAGTCCGTTTGTTACGTGACCTCTGACAGAGAAGATTTAGGAGATCTCTGATGGAGATGACTGGTTGTTAGGTGACCTCTGACAGAGAAGCCTGGTTGTCAGGTGATCTCTAATAGGGAGAACCTGGTTGTTAGGTGATCTCTAATAAAAAGAAGCCTGGTTGTTAGGTGACATCTGACAGAGGAGCATGGTTGTTAGGTTACCTCTAATGGTTAAGCTTTGTTGTTAGATGACTTCAGACTGAGAAGCCTGCTTCTTAGGTGATCTCTAATAAGGAGAAGCCTGAATGTTAGGTGATCTCTAATGGAGAAGCCTCATTGTTAGGTGACCCCTGTCAGTGAAACCTGGATGTTAGGAGACATCTGACACAGAAGCTTGGTTGTTAGGTGATCTCTGACAGAGAAGCCTGGTTGTCAGGTAATCTCTGACAGAGAGGCCTGGTTGTTAAGACAGCTCTTACATAGAAGTTTGATTATTAGGTTATCTCTGACAGAGAAGACTGGTTGGTAGGTGACCTCATAAAGAGAAGACTGGTTGTTATGTGACCTCATAAGGAGAAGACTGGTTGTTGGGTGATCTAATAAGGAGAAGCCTGTTTGTTAGGTGATCTCTTACAGAGAAGCCTGGTTGTTAGGTGACCTCTGAAAGAGAAGACTGGTTGTTAGGTGATCTCTAATAAGGACGAGCTGGGTTGTTAGATTTTCTATGACAGATAAGCCTGGTTGGTAGGTGACCTCTGAAATGGAAGCCTGGTTGTTAGGTGACTTCTGATTGAGAAGCTTGGTTGTTAGGTGACCTCTGATTGTGAAGCCTGGTTTTTAGGTGATCTCAAATACAGGGAAGCCTGCTTGTTAGGAGATATGTAAATAGGAGAAGCTAGAATGTTAGGTGATCTCTAATGGAGATGCTGAGATGTTAGGTGACCGCTTACAGAGAAGCCTGGTTGTTAGGTGATCTCTAATAAGGATGAGCTGGGTTGTTAGATTTTCTCTGACAGATAAGCCTGGTTGGAAGGTGACCTCTGACAGAGAAGATTGATGGTTAGGTGACATCTGACAGAGTAGCCTCTTTACTATGTGGTCTCTGACAGAAAAGCTTGGTTGTTAGGTGATCTCTAATAAGGAGAAGTGTGGTTGTGATGTGACCTCTGTCAGAGAAGCTTGGTTGTTAGGTTATCTCTGACAAAGAAGCCTAGTTGTTATACGACCTCATAAAGAGAAGACTGGTTGTTGGGTGATCTAATAAGGAGAAGCCTGTTTGTTAGGTGAGCTCTTACAGAGAAGCCTGGTTATTAGGTGACTTCTGATGGAGAAGCTTGTTTGTTAGGTGACCTCTGATTGAGAAGGCTGGTTTTTAGGTGATCTCAAATAAGGGGAAGCCAGCTTGTTAGGAAATCTCTAATAAGGAGAAGCTGGTATGTTAGGTGATCTCTAAAGGAGGTGCTGAGATGTTAGGTGCCCACTTACAAAGAAGCCTGCTTGTTAGGAGACCTCTGACAGAGAAGATTGATTTTTAGGTTATCTCTGACAGAGAAGGCTGGTTGATAGGTGACGTCTGAAAGAGTTGCCTGTGTGTGACGTGTCCTCTGACAGAGCAGCTTAGTTGTTACGTGATCGCTAATAAGTAGAAGCATGGTTGTTACATGACCTCTGACAGTGAAGCCTGGTTGTTACATTATCTCTGACAGTGAAGCCTGGTTGTTAGGTGACCTCATAAAGAGAAGACTGGTTGTTGGGTGATCTAATAAGGAGAAGCCTGATTGTTAGGTGACCTCTGAAAGTGAAGCTTCGTTGTCAGGTGACTTCTGATGGATAAGCTTGGTTGTTACATAATCTCTGACAGACAAGACTGATTGGTAGGTGACCTCAAAAAGAGAATCCTGGTTGTTCAGTGATCTCTAATAAGGAGCAGTTGGGTTGATAGGTTTTCTCTGACAGAGGAGCCTGGTTGGTAGGTGACCTCTGAAATGGAAGCCTGGTTGTTAGGTGACTTCTGATGGAGAAGCTTGGTTGTTAGTTGACCTCTGATTCAGAAGCCTGGTGTTTAGGTGATCTCAAATACGGGGAAGCCTGCTTGTTAGGAGATCTCTAATAAGGAGAAGCAGGAATGTAAGGCGATCTCTACTGGAGATGCTGATATGTTAGGTGACCACTTACAGAGATGACTGGTTGTTAGGAGACGACTGCCAGAGAAGACTGATTGTTAGGTTATCTCTGACAGAGAAGATGGGTTGTTAGGTGGTGACTGACATAGTTGCCTGTTTCTTACATGTCCTCTGAAGAAAAGCTTGGTTGTAAGGTGATCTCTAATAAGGAGAAGAGTGGTTGTTACATGACCTCTGTCAGAGCAGCCTGGCCATTATGTGATCTCTGACAGAGAAGCCTGGTTTTTATGTGACATCATAAAGAGAACACTGGTTGTTGGGTGATCTAATGAGGAGAAGCCTGTTTGTTAGGTGAATTCTGAAAGAGTAGTCTCATTGTTACATAATATCTGACAGCGAAGACTGCTAAGTGATCTCATAAAGAGAAGCTTGGTTGTTCGGTGATCTCTAATAAGGAGGATCTGGGTTGTTAGATTTTCTCTGACATAGAAGCCTGGTTGGCAGGTGATCTCTAATAGAGAGAAACCTGGTTGTGATGTGACCTTTAATGAGGATGAGCCTGGTAGGTGACCTCTGCCAGAGAAGACTGACTGTTAGGTGATATCTGACTGAGAGGCCTGGTTATCTGGTGATCTGTGATAGAGAAGCATGGTTGTTTGGACACCTGTTATAGGGAACACTGACAGTTAGGTGATCTGTGATCAGTGGGAGGCTTGTTGTTAGATGAACTCGGACAGAGAAGTCTTGTTGGTGATGTCTGACAGAGAAACCTGTTTGTTACAGAGCTCTTACAGAGAAACCTGGTTGTTATGTGACCTCATAAAGAGAAGACTTGTTTTTGACTGATCTAATACAGAGAAGCCTGTTTGATAGGTGAGCTCTTACAGAGAAGCCTGGTTGGTAGGTGACCTCATGAAGAGAAGCCTGGTTGTTCAGTGATCTATAAAAAGGAGGAGCTGTGTTGTTAGGTTTCTCTGACAGAGAAGCCTGGTTGTCAGGTGATCTCTAATAAGGGGAAAACTGGTTTGGTAGTGATCTCTAATGAGAGTAAGTCTGGTAGGTGACCTCTGACAGAGAAGACTGATTGTTAGGTGACATCTGAGAGAGAAGCCTGGTTATCGGGTTATCTGTGCAAGAGAAGCATGGTCGCTTTGTCAACTTTCATATGGAAGACTGACTGTTAGGTGATCTGTAATCAGGGCAAGGCTTGTTGTTAGATGACCTCTGACAGTGAAGTCTTGTTAGGTGATGTCTGACAGAGAAACCAGTTTGTTACATGACCATTGAAAGAGAGGCTGGGTTGTTAGGTGGTCTCTGACAGAGAAGCATGGTTTTAAGGTGACCGCTGATGGAGAAGCCTGGATGTCAGGTGAACTCTGACAGAGAAGGCTAGTTGTTAAGACAGGTCTTAAATAGAAGCTTGGTTATTAGGCTGTCTATGTCAGTGAAGACAGGTTGGTAGGTGAATGTATAAAGAAAACAATGGTTGTAGGGTCATCTAATAGGGAGAAGCCTGGTGTTAGATGACCTCGGAAAGAGAAGTCTACCTAACAGTCTTCTGANGAAGCCTGGATATCAGGTTATCTCTGACAGAGAAGCATGGATGTTTGGTCAACTCTTAAAGGGAAGACTGATTGTTAGGTGATCAGTAGTAAGTGGAAGCCTTGTTGTTAGATGACCCTTGACAGAGAAGACTTGTTGTTAGGTGATGTCTCACAGAGAAACCAGTTTGTTGCATGACCACTTACACAGAAGCTTGGTTGTTAAGTGATCTGTGACAGAGAAGCATGTTTTTAAGATGACATCTGATGGAGAAGCCTGGTTGACAGGCAGCCTCTGACAGAGAAGGCTGGTTGTTAATGCAGCTAAATCGAAGCTTGATTATTAGGTTGTCTCTGACAGAGAAGACTGGTTTGTAGGTGAACTCATAAAGAGAACAATGATAGTTGGGTGATCTAATAAGTGACAGCCTGGTTGTTAAGTGACCTCTGAAAGAGAAGTCTACCTACAGTTCTTCTGACAGAGAAGATTGGTTGGTAGGAGATCTCATAAAAAGAAGACCAGTTGCTAAATTATCTCTAATAAGGACAAGCCTGTTTATTATATGAGCTCTTAGAGAGATGCCTGGTTTTATTGAGACCTCATAAAGAGAAGACTGTTTGTTGGGTGATCTAATTAGCAGAAGACTCTTTCTTAGGCGAGCTCTGACAGAGAAGCCTGGTTGTTAGGTGACATCCAAAAGAGAAGACTGATTGTTGGGATCTAATAAGGAGAAGACTGTCAGGTGAGGTCTTACAGAGAACCCTGGTTGTTAGCTGACCTCTGAAAGAGAAGCCTGGTTGTTAGGTGACTTCTGATGGAGAACCATGGTTGTTACGTAATCTCTAACAGTGAAGACTGGTTGGTAGGAGATCTCATAAAGAGAAGCCTGTTTGTTCGGTGGTCTCTAATAAGCTTACAGAGAAGCCTGGTTACCGAGAAGCCTAGTTGCTTTGTGACACCATATAGAAAAGAATGATTGTTGGGTAACCTAATAAGGAGAGTCCTTCTTATTAAGTGACCTATGAAAGAGGAGTCTACCTACCATTCTTCTGACAGAGACTGGTTGGTAGGTGATCTCATAAAGAGAAGACTGGTTGTTAAGTGACCTCTAAAAAGGAAAAGCCTGTTTATTATGTGAGCTCTTACAGAGACGGGAGGATGTTACATGACTTCATAAAGAGAAGCCTGGTTGTTGGGTGACCTCGTAAGAAGAAGCCTGTTTGTTACAAGAGCTCTGACAGAGAAGCCTGGTTGTTAGGTGATTTTTGAAAGAGAAGCCTGGTTGTTAGGTGACTTCTGATGATGAAGCTTGGTGGTTATGTACTCTGTGACAGTGAAGAGTGGTTGGCAGGTGACCTCATAAAGAGAAGCCTGGATCTTCGTTGACCTCTAATAAGGCTTACAGTGAAGNTCTGAAAGAGAATTCTACCTAAAAGTCTTCTGACAGAGAATACTGTTTGTTAGGTTACCTCCTAAAGGGAAGACCTGTTGTTAAGTGATCTATAATAAGGAGAAGCCTGTTTATTATGTGAGCTCTTACAGACACGGTTGGATCTTACATGACCTCATAAAGAGAAGAGTGGTTGTAGGGTGATCTAATGAGGAGCAGCCTGTTGGTTCCGAGAGCTCTGAGAGAAAAGCCTGGTTGTTAGTTGACTTCTGGTGGAGAACCCTTCTTGTTATGTAATCTCTGACAGTGAAGTCTGGTTGGTAGGTGACGTCATGAAGAGAAGCTTGGTTCTTCGGTGATCTCTATTAAGGCTTACAGTGAAGCCTGTTTATAGACAGGCCTTGTTATGTGACCTCATAAAGGGAAGGCTATTTGTTGGGTGATCGTATAAGGAAAAGCCTGTTTGTTAGGCGTGCTCTTACAGAAGCCTGGTTATCAGGTTATCTCTGACAGAGAAGTATGGTTGTTAGGTCACCTCTTAAAATGAAAACTGATTGTTAGGTGATCTGTAATCAGTGGAAGGCTTGTTGTCAGATGATCTCTGACAGAGAAGTCTTGTTAGGATATGTCTGACAGAGAAACCTGTTTGTTACAGAGCTCTTACAGAGAAGCCTGATTGTTATGTGACCTCACAAAGAGAAGACTGTTAGGTGACCTCAAAAGAGAAGCCTGGTGGTTAGTTGACTTCTGACAGAGAAGGTAAGTTGTTACATTCTCTGTGACAGTGAAGACTGGTTGGTTGCTGACCTCACAAAGAGAAGCCTTGTTGTCAGGTCATCTCTCATAAGGAGAAGCTTGGTAGTTATGTGATCTGTAATGAGGAAAAGCCTGGTAGGTTACTTCTGACAGAGAAGACTGATTGTTAGGTGATATGTGAGAGAGAAGCCTGGTTATCAGCTTATCTCTGACAGAGAGGCATGGTTGTTCGGTCACCTCTTATAGGGAAGACTGACTGTTAGGTGTCCTGTGATCAGTGGACGGCTTGTTGTTGGATGACTTCTCACAGAGAAGTCTTGTGAGGTGATGTCTGACAGAGAAAGCTGTTTGTTGCAGAGCTCTTACAGAGAAACCTGTTTGTTAATTGACTTCATCAAGAGAGGACTGGTTTTTGGGTGTTCTAATAAGGAGAAGCCTGTTTGTTATGTGCTATTACAGAAGCCTGGTTATCTGGTTATCTCTGAGAGAAGCATGGTTTTTAGGTNGGTGATATGTGAGAGAGAAGCCTGGTTATCAGCTTATCTCTGACAGAGAGGCATGGTTGTTCGGTCACCTCTTATAGGGAAGACTGACTGTTAGGTGACCTGTAATCAGTGGAAGCCTTGTTGTTAGATGACTTCTCACAGAGAAGTCTTGTGAGGTGATGTCTGACAGAGAAAGCTGTTTGTTGCAGAGCTCTTACAGAGAAACCTGTTTGTTAATTGACTTCATCAAGAGAGGACTGGTTTTTGGGTGTTCTAATAAGGAGAAGCCTGTTTGTTACGTGCTCTTACAGAAGCCTGGTTATCTGGTTACCTCTGAGAGAAGCATGGTTTTTAGGTTACCTCGTAAATGGAAGACTGATTGTTAGGTGATCTGTAATCAGTGGAAGGCTTGTTGTTAGATGATCTCTGAGACAGAAGTTTTGTTAGGTGATGTGTGACTGAGATACCTGTTTGTAACGGAGCTCTTACTGACAAGCCTGGAGTTGATGTGACCTCATGAAGAGAAGACTGGCTGTTGGGTGATCAAAGAAGTAGAAGCCTGTTTGTCAGGTGAGCTCTTACAGAGAAGCCTGGTAGTTAGGTGACCTCTGAAAGGAATCCTGGTTGTTAGGTGACTTCTGATGGAGAAGCTTGGTTGTTATGTAATCTATGACAGTGAAGACTGGTTGGTATGTGACCTCATAAAGAGAAGCCTGGTTGTTTGGTGATCTCTAATACGGCTTACAGTGAAGCCTGTTCACAGAGAAACCTGGTTATTATGTGACCTCATAAAGAGAAGCCTGGTTGTGGGGACATCTAGTAAGTACAAGCCTGTTTGTTAGGCGTGCTCTTCCAGAAGCCTGGTTATCAGGTTATCTCTGACAGAGAAGCATGGTTGTTTGGTCACCTCTTAAAGGGAAGACTGATTGTTAGGTGATCTGTAATCAGTGGATGTCTTGTTTGATGATCTCTGACACAGAAGTTTTGTTAGGTGATGTGTGACTGAGAAACCTGTTTGTTACGGAGCTCTTACCAACAAGCCTGGAGTTGGTTTGACCTCATAAAGAGAAGACTGGCTGTTGGGTGATCAAAGAAGTAGAAGCCTGTTTGTCAGGTGAGCTCTTACAGAGAAGCCTGATAGTTAAGTGACCTCTGAAAGGGAGCCTGGTTGTTAGGTGTCTTCTGATGGAGAAGCTCGGTTGTTATGTAATCTATGACAGTGAAGACTGGTTGGTATGTGACCTCATAAGGAGAAGCCTGGTTGTTCGGTGATCTCTAAAATGGCTTACAGTGCAGCCTGTTCACAGAGAAACCTGGTTGTTATGTGACCTCATAAAGAGAAGCCTGGTTGTGGGGACATCTAATAAGTACAAGCCTGTTTGTTAAGCGAGCTGTTAGAGAAGCCTGGTTATCAGGTTCTCTCTGACAGAGAAGCATGGTTGTTTGGTCACCTCTTAAAGGGAAGACTGATTGTAACGTGATCTGTAGTAAGTGGCAGCCTTGTTGTTAGATGGCGTCTGACAGAGAGTCCTGATGTTTGGTGATGTCTGAGAGAGAAACCAGTTTGTAATATGAGCACTTACACAGAAGCTTGGTTGATGGTTGTTAGGTGCTTTCTGACAGAGAAGCCTGTCTTCAAGGTGACATCTGATGGAGAAGCCTGGTTGTCAGGCAGCCTCTGACAGAGAAGGCTGGTTGTTAAGGCAGCTCTTAAATAGAAGATTGATTATTATGTTGTCTCTGTCAGAGAAGACTGGTTTGTAGGTGAACTCATAAAGAGAACACAGTTTGTTGGGTAACCTAATAAGGAGATGCCTGGTTGTTAAGTGACCTGTGAAAGAGAATTCTACCTAAAAGTCTTCTGACAGAGAATACTTGTTGTTAGGTGACCTCCTAATGAGAAAACCGGTTGTTAAGTGATCTCTAAAAAGGAGAAGCCTTTTTATTATGTGAGCTCTCACAGAGGTGCCTGGTTGTTATGGAACCGCATAAAGAGAAGACTGGTTGCTGGGTGAACTAATAAGGGGAAGCCTCTTTGTTATGCGAGCTCTGACAGAGAAGCGTGGTTGTTAGGTGACTTCTGGTGGAGAAGCTTGGTTGTTATGTAATCTCTGACAGTGAAGACTGGTTGGTAGTTGACCTCATGAAGAGAAGCCTGGTTGTTCGGTGATCTCTAAGAGGGCTTACAGTGAAGCCTGTTTACAGAGAAGCCTGGATGTTATGTGACCCCATAAAGAGAAGGCTGGTTGTGGGGTGATCTAATAAGGAGAAGCGTGTTTGTTAGGCGTGCTCTTACAGAAGCCTGGTTTTCAGGTTATCTCTGACAGAGAAGTATGGTTGTTTTGTCACGTCTTAAAGGGCAGACTGATTGTTAGGTGATCTGTAATCAGTGGAAGGGTTGTTATTAGATGACCTCTGACAGAGAAGTTTTGTTTGGTGATGTGTGACTGAGAAACCTGTTTGTTACAGAGCTCTAACAGAGAAGCCTGGTTGTTATGTGACCTCATAAATCGAAGACTGGTTGTTGGAGGATCTGATAAGGAGAAGCATGTTTGTCAGGCGAGCTCTTACAGAGAAGCCTGGTTGTTACGTGACCTCTGAAAGAGAGGCCTGTTTGTTAGGTGACTTCTGCTGCAGAAGCTTGTTAGTTATGCAAACTCTGACAGTGAAGACTTGTTGGTAGGTGACCTCATAAGGAGAAGCCTGGTTGTTCGGTGATGTCTATCTCTAATAAGACTTACAGAAAAGCCTTGTTACAGAGAAGCCTAGTTGTTACGTGACCTCAAAAAGAGAAGACTGGTTTTTGGGTGATCTAAAAAAGAGATGCCTGTTTGTTAGGCAAACTCTGAGATAAGCCTGGGTATCAGTCTCTCTCTGACAGAGAAGCATGGTTGTTTGGTCACCTCTTAAAGGAAAGACTGATTGTTACGTGTTCTGTAATAAGTGGAAGCCTTGTTGTTAGATGACCTCTTACAGAGAAGTCTTGTTGTTAGGTGATGTCTGACAGAGAAACCAGTTTGTTACATGACCACTTATACAAAAGCTTGGTAGGTGATCTCTGACAGAGAAGCATGTTTTCAAGGTGACATCTGATGGAGAATTCTGTTTGTCAGGCAACCTCTGACAGACAAGGCTAGCTGTTAAGGCAGCTCTAAAATAGAAGCTTGATTATTAGGTTGTCTCTGTCAGAGAAGACTGGTTTTTAGGTGAACTCATAAAGGGAACACTGCTTGTTGGGTGATCTAATAAGGAGAAGCCTGTTTGTTAAGTGACCTCTGAAAGAGAAGTCTACCTAAAAGTCTTCTGACAGAGAAGACTGGTTGTTACGTTACCTCCTAAAGGGAAGACCTGTTGTTAAGTGATCTCTAATAAGGAGAAGCCTGCTTATTATGTGAGCTCTTACAGACACGGTTGGATCTTACATGACCTCATAAATAGAAGAGTGGTTGTTGGGTGATCTAATGAGGAGCAGCCAGTTGGTTACGAGAGCTCTGACAGAAAAGCCTGGTTGTTACATGACTTCTTATGGAGAACCCTGGTTGTTATGTAATCTCTGACAGTGAAGTCTGGTTGGTAGCTGACGTCATGAAGAGAAGCCTGGTTCTTCGGTGATCTCTATTAAGGCTTACAGTGAAGCCTGTTTATAGACAGGCCTTGTTATGTGACCTCATAAAGAGAAGACTGTTTGTTGGGTGATCGTATAAGGAGAAGCCTGTTTGTTAGGTGTGCTCTTACAGTAGCCTGGTTATCAGGTTATATCTGGCAGAGAAGTATGGTAGTTAGGTCACCTCTTAAAATGAAGACTGATTGTTAGGTGTTGTGCCATCAGTGGAAGGCTTGTTGTCAGACGATCTCTGACAGAGAAGTCTTGTTATGTCATGTCTGACAGAGAATCCTGTTGGTTACAGAGCTCTTACAGAGAGTCCTGATTGTTATGTGACCTCACAAAGAGAAGAATGTTTGTTAGGTGACCTCCAAAGGAGAAGGCTGGTGGTTAGTTGTCCTCCAAAAGAGAAGCCTGGTGGTTACCTGACTTCTGACAGAGAAGGTAAGTTGTTACATTATCTCTGACAGTGAAAACTGGTTGGTTGCTGACCTCACAATGGGGAGCCTTGTTGTCAGGTGATCTCTAATAAGGAGAAACTTGGTAGTTATGTGATCTGTAATGAGGAAAAGCCAGGTAGGTTACTTCTGACAGAGAAGACTGATAGTTAGGTGATATGTGAGAGAGAAGCCTGGTTATCAGGTTATCTCTGACAGAGAGGCATGGTTGTTCGGTCACCTCTTATGGGGAAGACTGACTGTTAGGTGACCTGTAATCAGTGGAAGGCTTGTTGTTGGATGACTTCTCACAGAGAAGTCTTGTTAGGTGATGTCTGACAGAGAAAGCTGTTTGTTACAGAGCTCTTACAGAGAAACCTGTTTGTTAATTGACTTCATCAAGAGAGGACTGGTTTTTGGTTGTTCTAATAAGGAGAAGCCTGTTTGTTATGTGCTATTACAGAAGCCTGGTTATCTGGTTATCTCTGAGAGAAGCATGGTTTTTATGTCACCGCTTAAAGGGAAGACTGATTGGTAGGTGATCTGTCATCAGTGGAAGGCTTCTTGTTAGATGACCTCTGACAGAGAAGTTTTGTTAAGTGATGTGTGATTGAGAGACCTGTTTGTTATGGAGCTCTTACAGAGAATCCTGAATGTTACGTGACCTCAAAAAGAGAAGACTGGCTGTTGGGTGATCAAAGAAGGAGAAGCCTGTTCGTCAGGTGAGCTCTTACAGAGAAGCCTGGTAGTTAGGTGACCTCTGAAGGAGAAGCTTGGTTGTTATGTAGTCTATGAGTGAAGACTGGTTGGTATGTGACCTCATAAAGAGAAGTCTGGTTGTTCGGTGATCTCTAATACGGCTTACAGTGAAGCCTGTGCACAGAGAAAACTGGTGGTTATGTGACCTCATAAGGAGAAGCCTGGTTGTGGGGACATCTAATAAGTACAAGCCTGTTTGTTAGGCGTGCTCTTCCAGAAGCCTGATTATCAGGTTATCTCTGACAGAGAAGCATGGTTGTTTGGTCACCTCTTAAAGGGAAGACTGATTGTTAGGTGATCTGTAATCAGTGGATGTCTTGTTGTTTGATGATCTCTGACACAGAAGTTTTGTTAGGTGATGTGTGACTGAGAAACCTGTTTGTTACGGAGCTCTTACCGACAAGCCTGGAGTTGATGTGACCTCATAAAGAGAAGACTGGCGGTTGAGTGATCAAAGAAGTAGAAGCCTGTTTGTTAGGTGAGCTCTTACAGAGAATCCTGGTAGGTGACCTCTGAAAGGAAGCCTGGTTTTTAGGTGACTTCTGATGGAGAAGCTTGGTTGTTATGTAATCTATGACAGTGAAGACTGGTTGTTATGTGACCTCATAAAGAGAAGCCTGGTTGTGGGGACATCTAATAAGTAGAAGCCTGTTTGTTAGGCGAGCTCTTACAGAAGCCTCGTTATCATGTTATCTCTGACAGAGAAGCATGGTTGTTTGGTCCCCTCTTAAAGGGAAGAGTGATTGTTAGGTGATCCATAGTAAGTGGAAGCCTTGTTGTTAGATGACATTTGACAGAGACTCTTGTTGTTAGGTGATGTCTGACAGAGAAACCACTTTGTTACATGAGCACTTACACAGAAGCTTGGCTGTTAAGTGATCTCTGACAGAGAAGTATGTTTTTAAGGTGAAATCTGTTGGAGAAGCCTGTTTGTCAGGCAACCTCTGAGAGAGAAGGCTGGTTGTTAAGGCAGCTCTTAAATAGAGGCTTGATTATTAGGTTGTCTCTGTCAGAGAAGACTGGTTTGTAGGTGAACTCATAAAGAGAACACAGTTTGTTGGGTGATCTAATAAGTAGCAGCCTGGTTGTTAAGTGACCTCTGAAAGAGAGGTCTACCTAACAGTCTTCTGACAGAGAAGACTGGTTGGTAGGTGACCTCATAAAGAGAAGACCTGTTGTTAAGTGATCTCTAATAAGGAGAAGCCTGTTTATTACGTGAGCTCTCACAGAGGTGCCTGGTTGTTATGGGACTGCATAAAGAGAAGACTGGTTGTTGGGTGAACTAATAAGGGGAAGCCTCTTTGTTATGCGAGCTCTGACAGAGAAGACTGGTTGTTAGGTTACTTCTGATGGAGAAGCTTGGTTGTTATGTAATCTCTGACAGTGAAGACTGGTTGGTAGTTGACCTCATGAAGAGAAGCCTGGTTGTTCGGAGATCTCTAAGAGGGCTTACAGTGAAGCCTGTTTACAGAGAAGCCTGGTTGTTATGTGACCTCTGAAAGAGAGGCCGGTTTGTTAGGTGACTTCTGCTGGAGAAGCTTGTTAGTTATGCAAACTCTGACAATGAAGACTTCTTGGTAGGTGACCTCATAAGGAGACGCCTGGTTGTTCAGTGATCTCTATCTCTAATAAGGCTTACAGAGAAGCCTTGTTACAGAGAAGCCTAGTTGTTACATGACCTCACATAGAGAAGACTGGTTTTTGGGTTATCTAATAAGGAGATGCCTGTTTGTAAGGCGAACTCTGAGATAAACCTTTGTATAAGTCTCTCTCTGACAGAGAAGCATGGTTATTCAGTCACCTCTTAAAGGGAAGACTGATTGTTACGTGTCCTGTAGTAAGTGGAAGCCTTGTTGTTAGGTGACCTCTTACATAGAAGTCTTGTTGTTAGATGATGTCTGACAGAGAAACCAGTTTGTTACATGACCACTTACACAAAAGCTTGGTTGTTAGGTGATCTCTGACAGAGAAGCATGTTTTCAAGGTGACATCTGATGGAGAAGCCTGTTTGTCAGGCAACCTCTGACAGAGAGGGTTAGCTGTTAAAGCAGCTCTAAAATAGAAACTTGATTATTAGGTTGTCTCTGTGAGAGAAGACTAGTTGTTAGGTGAATGCATAAAGAGAACACTGCTTGTTGGGTGATCTAATAAGGAGAAGCTTGTGTGTTGTGACCTCTGAAAGAGAAGTCTACCTAAAAGTCTTCTGACACAGAAGACTGGTTGTTAGGTTACCTCCTAAAGGGATGACCTGTTGTTAAGTGATCTCTAATAAGGAGAAGCCTGTTATTATGTGAGCTCTTACAGACACGTTTGAATCTTACATGACCACATAAAGAGAAGAGTGGTTGTTGGGTGATCTAATGAGGAGCAGCCTGTTGGTTACGAGAGCTCTGAGAGAAAAGCCTGGTTGTTAGGTGACTTCTGATGCAGAAACCTGGTTGTTATGTAATCTCTGACAGTGAAGTCTGGTTGGTAGGTGACGGCATGAAGAGAAGCCTGGTTCTTTGCTGATCTCTAGTGAGACTTACAGTGAAGCGTGTTTATAGAGAGGCCTTGTTGTTATGTGACCTCATAAATAGAAGACTGGTTGTGGGGTGATCTCATAAGGAGAAGTCTGTTAGGCATGCTCTTACAGAAGCCTGGTTATCAGGTGATCTGTGACAGAGAAGAACGTTTGTTAGGTCACCTCTTAAATTCAGCACTGATTGTTAGGTGTTGTGCCATCAGTGGAAGGCTTGTTGTCAGACGATCTCTGACAGAGAAGTCTTGTTATGTCATGTCTGACAGAGAAACCTGTTGGTTACAGAGCTCTTACAGAGAAGCCTGATTGTTATGTGAGCTCACAAAGAGAAGACTGTTAGGTGTCCTCCAAAGGAGAAGGCTGCTGGTTAGTTGACCTCCAAAAGAGAAGCCTGATGGTTACCTGACTTCTGACAGAGAAGGTAAGTTGTTACGTTATCTCTGACAGTGAAGACTGGTTGGTTGCTGATCTCACAAGGAGAAGCCTGGTTGTCATGTGATCTCTAATAAGGACAAACCTGGTAGTTATGTGATCCGTACTGAGGATAAGCCTGTTAGGTTACCTCTGACATAGAGGACTGATTGTTAGGTGTTATGTGAGAGAAAAGCCTTGTTATCAGGCTATCTCTGACAGAGAGGCATGTTTGTTCAGTCACCTCTTATAGGGAAGACTGACTTTTAGGTGACCTGTAATCAGTGGAAGCCTTGTTGTTAGATAACTTCTTACAGAGAAATCCTGTGAGGTGATGTCTGACAAAGAAATCTGTTACAGAGCTCTTACAGAGAAACCTTTTTGTTATGTGACTTCATAAAGAGAAGACTGGATTTTGGGTGTTCTAATAAAGAGAAGCCTGTTTGTTACATGCTCTTACAGAAGCCTGATTATCTGGTTATCTCTGACAGAGAAGCATGGTTGTTTGGTCACCTCTTAAAGGGAAGACTGATTGTAACGTGATCTGTAGTAAGTGGCAGCCTTGTTGTTAGATGGCGTCTGACAGAGAGTCCTGATGTTTGGTGATGTCTGAGAGAGAAACCAGTTTGTAATATGAGCACTTACACAGAAGCTTGGCTGTTAAGTGATTTCTGACAGAGAAGTATGTTTTTAAGGTGAAATCTGTGGGAGAAGCCTGGTTGTCAGTCAACCTCTGAGAGAGAAGGCTGGTTGTTAAGGCAGCTGTAAAATAGAAGCTAGATTATTATGTTGTCTCTGTCATAGAGGCCCGGTTGGTAGGTGAACTCATAAAGAGAACACAGTTTGTTGGGTAACCTAATAAGGAGATGCCTGGTTGTTAAGTGACCTGTGAAAGAGAATTCTACCTAAAAGTCTTCTGACAGAGAATACTTGTTGTTAGGTGACCTCCTAATGAGAAAACCGGTTGTTAAGTGATCTCTAAAAAGGAGAAGCGCGTTTATTATGGGAGCTCTTACAGAGACGGTTGGATCTTACATGACCTCATAAAGAGAGGAGTGGTTGTTGGGTGATCTAATGAGGAGCAGCCTGTTGGTTACGAAAGCTCTGACAGTAAAGCCTGGTTGTTAGGTGACTTCTGATGGAGAATCATGGTTGTTATTTAATCTCTGACAGTGAAGTCTGGTTGGTAGGTGACCTCATGAAGAGAAGCCTGGTTCTTCGGTGATCTCTAATAAGGCTTACAGTGAAGCCTGTTGATAGAGAGGCCTTGTTGTTATGTGACCTCATAAAGAGAAGCCTGTTAGGCTTGCTCTTAGAGAAGCCTGGTTATCAGATTATCTCTGACAGAGAGGTGTGGTTATTAGGTCACCTCTTAAATCGAAGACTGATTATTAGGTGATCTGTAATCAGTGGAAGACTTGTCAGATGATCTCTGACAGAGAAGTTTTGTTAGGTCATGTCTGACAGAGAAACCTGTTTGTTACAGAGCTCTTGCAGAGATGCCCGAGAGAAGACTGGTTGTTAGGTGACCTCCAAAATAGTAGCCTGGTGGTTAGGTGACCTCCAAAATAGACGCCTGGTGGTTAGGTGACTTCTGAGAGAGAAGGTAAGTTGTAACATTATCTCTGACAGTGAAGACTGGTGGGTTGCAGACCTCACAAAGGGAAGCCTGGTTGTCAGGTGATCTCTAATAGGGAGAAACCTGGTAGTTATGTGATTCATAATGAGGACAAGCCTGGTAGGTTACCTCTGACAGAGAAGACTGATTGTTAGGTGACATCTGAGAGAGAATCCTGGTTATCAGTTTATCTCTGACAGAGAAGCATGGTTGTTCGCTCACCTCTCATAGGGAAGACTGACTGTTAGGTGACCTGAAATCAGTGGAAGGCTTGTTGTTAGATGACTTGTCACAGAGAAGTCTTGTTAGGTAATGTCTGACAGAGAAACCTGTTTGTTACAGAGCTCTTACAGAGAAACCTGGTTGTTCTGTGACCTCATAAAGGGAAGACTGGTTGTTGGGTGATGTAATGAGGAGAAGCCTGTTTGTTACATGCTCTCACAGAAGCCTGATTATCTGGTTATCTGTGACCGAGAAGCATGGTTTTCAGGTCACATCTTAAAGGGAAGACTGATTGGTAGGTGATCTGCAATCAGTAGAAGTCTTGTTGTTAGATGACCTCTGACAGAGAAGTATTGTTAGGTGATGTGTGACTGAGAACCCTGTTTGTTACAGAGCTCTTCCAGATAAGCGTGGATGTTATGTGACCTCATAAAGAGAAGACTGGTGGTTGGGTGATCTAACAAGGAGAAGCATGTTTGTGAGGCAAGCACTTGCAGAGAAGGAGAAGCCTGGTAGTTAGGCGAGCTCTGACAGAGAAGCCTGCTTGTTAGGTGACTTCTGATGGAGAAGCTTGGTTGTTATGTAATCTCTGACAGTGAAGACTGGTTGGTAAGTGACCTCATGAAGAGAAGCCTGGTTCTTCGGTGATCTCTAACAAGGCTTAGAGTGAAGCCTGTTGATAGAGAGGCCTTGTTGTTATGGGACCTCCTAAAGAGAAGACTGCTTGTTGGGTGATCTCATAAGGAGAAGCCTGTTTGTAAGGCGTGCTCTTACAGAAGCCTGGGTATCAGGCTATCTCTGAGAGTGAAGTATAGTTGTTAGTTCACCTCTTAAACCAAAGACTGATTGTTAGGTGATCTGTAATCTGTGGAAGGCTTGCTGTCAGATGATCTGTGACAGAAAAGTCTTGTCAGGTCATGTCTGACAGAGCAACCTGTTTGTTACAGAGGTCTTACAGAGAAGCCTGATTGTTATGTGACCTCATAAAGAGAAAAAAGGTTGTTAGGTAGAGAAGCCTATTGGTTAGGTGACTCTTGACAGGGAAGGTAAGTTGTTACATTATCTCTGACAGTGAAGACTGTTTGGTTGCTCACCTCATAAAGAGAAGCCTGGTTGTTCGGTGGTCTCTAGTAAGGACAAGCTGGGATGTTAGATTTTCTCTGACAGATAAGCCTGGTTTTCAATTGATCTCTAATAAGGAGAAATCTGGTAGTTATGTGATCCATGATGAGGGTAAGCCTGGTAGGTGACCTCTGACAGAGAAGACTGATTGTTAGGTGACGTCTGAGTGGGAAGCCTGGTTATCAGTTTATCTCTGAGTGAGAAGCCTGGTTATAGGGAAGCACCTCTTATAGGGAAGACTGACTTTTAGGTGACCAGTATTCAGTGGAAGGCTTGTTGTTAGATGACTTCTCACAGACAAGTTTTGTTAGGTGATGTGTGGCAGAGAAACCTGTTTGTTACAGAGCTCTCACAGAGAAACCTGGTTGTTATGTGACATCGTAAAGAGAAGACTGGTTGTTGGGTGATCTAATAACAAAAAGCCTTTTTGTTATGTGCTCTTCCAAAAGCCTGGTTATCTGGTTATCTGTGAGAGAGAAGCCTGGTTTTTAGGTCACCTCTGAAAGGGAAGACTGACTGGTAGGTTAACTGTAATCAGTGGAAGGCCTGTTGTTAGATAATCTCTGACAGAGAAGTTTTGTTAGGTGATGTGTGACTGATAAACCTGTTCCTTACAGAGCTCTTACAGAGAACCCTGGTTGTTATGTGACCTCATAAATCGAAGACAGGCTGTTGTGTGATCTAATTATGAGAAGCAAGTTTCTCAGGCGATCTCTTACAGAGAAGCCTGGTTGTTACATGACCTTTGAAAGAGAAGCCTGCTTGTTAGGTGACTTCTGATGGAGAAGCTTGGTTTTCATGTAATCTCTGACAGTGAAGACTGGTTGGTAGGTGACCTCGTAAGGAGAATCCTGGTTGTTCGGTGATCTCTAATAAGGCTTACAAAGAAGGCTTGTTACAGAGAAGCCTAGTGGTTATGTGACCTCCTAAAGAGAAGAGTGGTTTTTGGGTGATCGAATAAGGAGATGCCTGTTTGTTAGGCGAGCTCTGAGAGAAGCCTGCTTATCAGGTTCTCACTGACAGAGAAGCATGGTTGTTTGGTCACCTCTTAAAGGGAAGACTGATTGTTAGGTGATCTGTAGTAAGTGGAAGCCTTGTTGTTAGATGACCTCTGACAGAGCAGTCTCGTTGTTAGGTGATGTCTGACAGAGAAACCAGTTTGTTACATGACCACTTACACAGAAGCTTTGTTGTTGGGTGGTCTCTACAGAGAAGCATGTTTTAAGGAGACATCTGATGGAGAAGCCTGGTTGTCAGGCAACCTCTGACAGAGAAGGCTGGTTTTTGAGGCAGCTCTAAAATAGAAGCATGATTATTAGGTTGTCTCTGTCAGAGAAAACTGGTTTGTAGGTGAACACATAAAGAGAAATTGTTGGATGATCTAAAAAGTAGCAGCCTGGTTGTTAAGTGACCTATGAAAGAGACGTCTACCTAACAGTCCTCTGACAGAGAAGACTGGTTTGTAGGTGACCTCATAAGGAGAAGACCTGTTTTTAAGTGATCTCTAATAAGAGGACGCCTGTTTATTATGTGAGCTCTTACAGAGATGCTTGGATTTTTTATGACCTCATAAAGAGGAGACTGGTGGTTGGGTGATCTAATCAGGAGAAGCCTGTTTGTTACGATAGCTGTGACAGAAAAGCCTGGTTGTTAGGTGACTTCTGATGGAGAAGCTTGGTTTTCATGTAATCTCTGACAGTGAAGACTGGTTGGTAGGTGACCTCATGAAGAGAAGCCTGGTTCTTCGGTGATCTCCAATAAGGCTTACAGTGACGACTTTTGATACAGAGGCCTTGTTGTTATGTGACCTCATAAAGAGAAACCTGTTCGGCGTGCTCTTAGAGAAGCCTGGTTAACTGGTTATCTCTGACAGAGAAGTGTGGCTGTTAGGTCACCTCTTATATCGAAGAATGATTTTTAGGTGATCTGTAATCAGGGGAAGGCTTGTTGTCAGAGGATCCCTCACAGAGAAGTTTTGTTAGGTCATGTCTGACAGAGAAACCTGTTTGTTACAGAGCTCTTGCAGAGATGCCCGAGAGAAG